TTTAGGGCTTTAGGGTTTTGGGGGTTCAGGGCCCCTCCCAAGAAAGGCCGGGGTTAGGGTGGCTGAATGATGTAGCCCCACCTCGCTCAGCGATTTTTTGAGGATTGGCTTTGGTTTTTAGGGCCTTGGGGCCTTAGGGGGGGGGGGGGTTGGGTTTATGGCTGTGGGTGAATAGCTGTCTACTACATAGTTCTGGAAGTCATGATAACCAAAAGTTCATTTCAAGACAAGAACAGAATAACACTACTAATTGTCAACATTATATTGAGTCGGAATGATGGTTGAAGTAAAGATAGTCGTTTCTGGAACCAAAGCCACCGCCTGTATCACGAAACGGCAGTGGCAATCGCCTTCAGCAGTGAAAATTTAACACATCAAGTAAACAGAGCCGTATGGAGGTATAAAGCGCACGGGGAAGGATAACGAAGAAAGATAAATCCTGACAATAGCAGCAGACTAACCCATTTCAACCGTGTTTATCATAAGGGGCAGAAGAAGAGTCAGAAATGCTCCCGCATCCCTGGTGGATATTACTAGTATCATGAAAGCGAGCTAGAACAATGCTGTAAGGCTGCAAAGTCCTGGGGTAAACCGTGAACCCTAAACCATGGACCATAAACCCTAAATCAAACCCTAAACCCAAAGCCATAAACCATAGACCCTAGATTAAACCCCAAACCCTAAACCATAAACCCTAAAATCAAACCCCCAAACCCTCAACCCTAAACCCTAAACCCTAAACCCTAAGCCTTCGGGCTTTGGGGGTTATGAGTCGGCTCGTGGAGGAGGCCTTTTCGGGCCAAGTGTAAAGAGAGGAGTTGACAGCGTTTTGTCTGGGAACGTTTGCAAGTCTTTAGGGTTTAGGGTTTAGGGTTTACACCGTGTAATGGACAAGACAAGAACAGACTAGAATATACTATAAATATGCTATAGTATTCTGTACTATAACAAACATGATATACTTTAAGGGGCCAATTGGTGCCGGGGAGTTCTAGCGCTGCAAAACAGGGTCGGGATCGTGGAGTCCTGCTTTAAGGTTACCTTCAGAGCCTTCCAGAAGCCGTCGTTGTCCGGGAAGTGAAGCAAACAGACAAGACAAAAAGAAGATGATCATCTACATCAGCGACGATGACGACAACAACAAGAAAAGCTGAGCAAAATCAGAAGAACGACACCAGCAGCAGCAGCAGCAGCAGCACCACCACCACCACCACCAGCACCACCACCACCACCACCAGCAGACTTAGCAACAACAACAGCAGAAAGTAACAAGAGCAACAGCAGCAACGGCATTCAAAAGAAGAATAACAAGAGTGGCAGCAACAACAGAAGCAACGAGAACGAACGGCCGGATGGCAAAGGCAACCATCATTACCATTACCATACCTATTCTAACGCCTGTAACTACTAGAACATATATATATACATAAATATATATATATATAACACGAGAAGGAAGAATCTGAGAAGAGACCTGCACCAGCAACCGCAGCAACTCTGTCTGCGACTCGGCTCCCGTGTCGGCCTTCAGTGCTTCCCCCATGCTCAGAGCTTTGGGTCTGAGTTAGAGGTTGGGGTGTAGGGTTTAGGGTTTAGGGTTTAGGGTTCAGGGTTCAGGGTTTAGGGTTGGGTCTGGGCTTTTTCACTGCAGTTTTAACGATTCTGTAGTTACGTTAATCATGGTGGTGCTGGTACGAATAGCAACAATCACAATGAAGATGATAGTAATAGTAACAGTTCTACAGTTACAAGGATAGCAAAAATAACAATAGTAGTACAAATGCCAATGGCGGGAAGTGCTGGGTTCAGGGGTGGACCGGAAGGTTTCGAGTTTTTGGGGCCAAGGTACAGGCTGTAAGACCTGGGAGTGACCCAAACCTGCAACATACGATTGATGATAGAAATCCTGCATTACCCCATAATAAGGAATATACCATAATTCCCAAAGTTTAGGGTCCTCAAGGTAATGCAGGATTTATATCATCAACCATAGGACCCTAAACCCGGAACCTAAGCCCCCGAGGCTCTGAAGAAGATCCCTCGAAGACCCTACGACATGAATCTCCAGCTCTCAGAATCCCCACACCCTAAAGGTTTAGGGTCTAGGGTCTAGGGTTTTGGGTTTTGGGTTTGGGGTTTTGGGTTTAGGGTTTAGGGTTTAGGGTTTCTAAACCAGCACAGCCAAAAAAACACAATCACGAAAACCGGCCCTTGCTTGCGCACGTACATATCCACGCGGGTAGGTACGCACATACATGCCTCCCTACCTGCATACCTACGTACGTACCTACTTACGTGCTTACATAATTATTCACATACGTGTATACAGCTTTGGTTCTTTATTCATGTACCGCATACCTACTTACTTACATATATAACAGATAAACCCGAAGGCAAGGACCTTCAGATCAATGCTCACATGCATGAATATCATATATGTACTCCCCTGTGAGCGCCTCGGTATTCAAGTGGAGTCCGCTGAACCCGTCAACAGCCGCCGGAGCGTCGGTTTTTGTGTTTTGGCATTTAGGGGTTAAGGGTTTACAGGTAGATTTGGACATTGGGGTATTAGGGCTTGAGGTTTCGTGTGGTAGGGTTTAGGTTTAGGCTACCGGGGTTTGGAGTTTAGGGACTGCGGTTTCGGGCGTAGGAGGGTGTTCGGGCACTGGGCTAGTAGCGTTATCGCAATAGTTACTAGTACTGAGCTAGGGGCTGACCCCTAAACCCTAAACCCCAGTAGAGAGCATTGAAGATTGGTGGGTTTAGGGTCCGGTCCTCTCAGGATTCAGGCTTCAAGGCCTTCAAGAGACAGCTTACCGTCGGGCCTTGACAGATGAAGCAAAAGTTGGCGTGGCGTCTCAACATCGTTGTAAGAGAGCTACAGAAAACTCAAAAAACTATGATAGCCAAAATAGTAATAACTATAATAATAACTATAATAATAAGAAGAAGAACTATATTATAATTATAATAATAATAATAATAGTAAAAATAATCATAACTACAATGTCAATAGCTATCATGATTATAACAACCCAGGAGCACCCAGCACCTTCCAATGGTTTAGGGTTTAGGGACCACAAACAAAACTACTGCAACCGGCTCTCTTCCAGTGGGCACAAATTACTCCCACCGCCTCTCTACCTGCTGTCGAGTCCCTGAGCGCTCCCTTGTCAAACCAGGAGCCACACAACGCAAGCCTGTTAGGAACCCTCCAACCCTCCAAAACCTGTATAAACCCCAAGAAAGAAACACATAAACCCCAAGGAAATCCTGAGACCTTATTGTCTTATGGTACCCTGAAAGTAGCCTGGCGGACGAGGGACGGAATTGCCCGTGTAGAAAATCCCAACCCCGAACCCCCTAACCCCACATGCGATACCTGAACCCCGAACCCTGAACCTTAATCCTAAACCCTAAACCCTAACCCCAAAACCTGAAGCGTAAACCCTAAACACTAAACCCTTATTTTGTGTTCTTAGCCCTGGCCTTTAGGAGTGCCAAGGCAGCGTCGACGGCAGCCTGCAGGTTACGACAGTTTTTGGGATATTTCCTTAACTGGGAGTAAGGATTACGGTGACCCTTGGGGGGTACCTTGGTACCTTATATTGGGGTTTAGGGTTCAGGGCTTAGGGCTTTAGGGTCGGTGAAGAGAAAGATAGGAGTAAGGATTACAAGGACCTTTTGGGGATATCGACCCTCTCCATAAGGTCTGTTTAAAGAGAGCCAGAAGTAGGGTCAAGAAGGGTGCCCTCTAAGGGGTCTCCCTAGCACTACCTGGGATTAACGGGTTCCTCGTCATAAGGGTGCCGTAAGGGCTTTAGGATAGTTCCTTAAAAGGTTCCTTAAGGGTGCTCCAAGGAAGCAGTAAGGGTTCCTTCAGCGTGCTACCGTTGATGATATAAATCCTGCATTACCCATAATAAGGAATATCCCATAATTCCCATGGTTTAGGGTCCTTAAGGTAATGCAGGATGTATGTCATCAACCGCATCAGGGTACTAGAAAAGGCTTAGAGTCTCGGGCTTTGGGTTTGATATCGGGGTTGCAGAGACTCGAGGAACCTTCGATTTAGGACCCATATGAATAAGGATCCTACTGTTTATGGTGTTGCATAAACCCCCCCCCCCCATTTTGCGGAGATTCCCATGCAGAGTTCGAGGGTCTATTCGTCTGGAACCAGAAAATACATCCCCAAAACCCTAAAAGCTAATATCCCTTACCCCTTACAATGGCCTTTTCGTGACCTTTATGGCAAGAAGAAACACTAAACCCCAAACCCTTAAAGGTCCTGGCGCAGATCCGATTGCCTTCGCTGCTGCACTTTCGTCTCGAGTTTGGATCTTCTTTGCTTCGCTGCGACGACTGGAGACTTCGTCAACCTTCGCTGCCTCAACCTGGGTTCGTGGATTTGGGTCAGGGTTTAGGGCTTAGTGTTAAGGGTTTGGGGTTTTGGGTTTTGGGTTTGGGGTTTTGGTTTTGGTCTCAGGGTGGTTTAGGCTGACTTGGCTTGAGGGCCATGGCTGCCACACTGACAATGATAGTTGAAAATGGAATGAACTAGACTAAGCAACTGTCTCTGAGTACCAGTACAAGTAGCAGCGGCAGCAGCAGCAGCAGCAGCAGGAGTAGGAGGAGGAGCAGTCCCAGTGGCAGTAGCAAGTAGCAGTAGTAGTACTCGTCGTCGTCGTCGTCGTCGTCGTCGTCGTAGTAGTAGTAGTAGTAGTAGTGGTGGTGGTGGGAGTAGCAGTGGTAGCAGCAGTAGCATTGCAGTACTGTAGTAGGAGCAGTGGCAGCAGCAGCAGCAGCAGCAGCAGCACCAGTACTAGTACTAGTGGCAGTACGAGCAGCATCCGGTGTCGTCGCGCAGTGGGCACGGGCAGTGGCAGTAGGAGTGGTGCTGACAGGGGTAGTGGCAGTGCCAGATGTCGTCGTCGGCTGTGGTGCTGTCGTCACGAAAGATGAAAACGGAATACAAATCATCTTGCCGACAGGGAAACGGCTTTCTCCTGCTCTTCGAGCACCGCCGTGGCTGAGGTCACAGCCTCCTTCGCCTGCGCAGCTCATGCTGACAAGGGTTCTCCCAATGCTGCCCAGTATCCCTCGTCCTGCTGCGTGGCAATACTTGCATTCACGAGGGTCTGCTCAGCTTCGGAGATGCGGCCAGCTGCAGCAGCTGCCTGCACCCAGAAGAGGTCTTCAGACCGTCGGAGTCCTCTTTTAAGCAATGAAGCCTCCTCTCCAAGTCGATCGCTCTCCTTGTCGGCGAGGGTTTTGCTGTCCGACAAAATTCGCTGGCACTGCTTCAGTACTTCCTGCACAGGGTTTTCATCTGCCAACTTGCAACGTAGAAGTGAGAAGAAGAGGCACGCCCACCAGGGGGCACAGGGGCCTGCTGATACGGATGGCCTCCCTCTGCATGAGGAAGAGCTGACACCAGCATGGTTCGGACACTTTCAGTAGCAGCATCGTTTCCTGAGTGCGCTCACAGCCCTCTCTTCGATTGCGGAGGCTAGTCTGCCAAGGAATCTGCCGAAGACATCCTCGTCCAGGAGCACCTGCAGGGTTCTTCTTCAGGAAGCAACTCCAAGATAACAGGGATACATAGGAATTACATAAATGCTAGCATAGTAGGGGTATATAGGATACAAGATGCTGAACAGGAAGCAAGCCTTGCCGACCATCTGGGCATCTGCAGCGGCCTTACGGCAGAAGAGGCAGAACTCCCGAACTGCTGCATGTGGGGTTTCGGGCTTAGTGCTTTTTCACATTGCAGCCGATTGGTGCATGACGCGGAAGCAAGCTGGCGTAAGGGCGGCACCATGTCGGAGAAGAGCTTTCCACAGCTTTGCGAGGCAACTTGCAAACTCGGACACCCTAGCCCGCGGCAGCGAAGTGAGCAGCTGAATCGTTGAACATTCACACCATGCTGTGCATCGGGAATCATGGGAAGAGCAAGGGAACCAAAAGTAACAGTGGGAACAAACGCAACAAGAAGAACAATACATGTAGCATAAGCAGTGTGACCTCAGCAACCTCACTTGCGAGGTTGAACCTAATTTTCAGAAACCCCCCAAGCCCAAACAGAAGGTTGGAACACGGGTTTAGGATGACGAGTGCTATGACCCCTTGTACGTTACCTTAAGGGCATGAGGAGAACAGCGTTCCAACTGTAAGGCTACTACTATAAACCTACGTTTAAGAGACCGCTGCACCATCCGTTTGGGCTGAGACCAGCAGGATTCTCGGCACTGCCTTTCAGGGAACTGGCTGGATGGGGAGTCTCCTGGGGTGTCTGGGATTGTGTAGTAAAAAGGCTTCTTTCGGGTTTCATAAGCGCTTCTTAGGAATGTGATAAGGCTTCATAAGGTTATACGGCTTTGATGTGTTCTACGATGCTGATGCTGGCAGGGTTTTACAGAGTTTGAGGAGGATTCTATGGGCCCGTAGACCCTAAACCAAAACTCCAAAAACCATAAGCCGTAGGCCCAAGGCCCTCGACCTAAAAGGGCTTTGTTGCGGAATGCTAGCTAATTATAGAGGGCGCAGCTTTAGGATGGGTGTAGGGTTTGGGCTTTGGTCTAGGATTGAAGGTTTAGGGTTAGGGTACATATAGTGCTGTTAATAAATTGATTCAGGGACCCTTATCAGCCTTATAAAGAGGACCCTTAAAAAGTGTTAACCCTAAACCCCTAAACCCCTAAAGCCCTCAATAGTTGATTCAGTGTCCCATGCGAGGCCGTTCATAAACCCGGAAGGGTGGAACTGAGATGCCGAAGAGCACCAGCCAGTGGAACTCCAATCATTGATAAGTGCTCAGGGTTTAGGGTTTGCGGCTTGGGGCTTAGGGTTTAGGGCTTGGGGTTTGGGGCTTGGGGCTTAGGGTTTAGGGTTTGGGAGGGCTCAGGGCTTAGGGTTTAGGGCTTGGGGTTTAGGGTCGAGGGTTCCATTGTTACTGTAGTCTTGCATAATGTAAGGTTTAGGGTTCAGTGTTTAGTGCTTCTCGTGATGTCCGGCACTGCATTCAAGAGCACTAGAGGTCGTTCTACTTGTGCATCGTCCTTTGCCGGCCACCTGATGTAGGCAGTCTCTAGACACCTCGCACAAGTCCCGAATCTCACAAAAGGTCACCGAGAACTCCGTTAGGAAGCAGTTCTTCATTCTTCCACAACCCCGGCAGGGAACACTGCGAAAATTCAGCCAGTCAGACAGACTCATGACAAAAAGCACGAGCAACTTGTCGCGCCTCCGCCTTGCTCGGTAATTCCTGCCGAGACAGTCACTATGCTGTCACTTCTTGTGTGTCCACATATTTCTATTAGGACTAGTGTTGCTAGCGCAACAGCCTTACATCGCCAGTCTTGGTGTCATGTTACAAGTACCTTGCTGTTCTTGTTGAGCACATCTTCATGTTCGTCATGCAAACGCTTCGTAACATCTTTGGGTAGCCCGACTAGCACGCTATGCATGGACAGCCCTCCGACAGCTCGTACGATGCTTGTGTTACCACCCCAGTGTTTGCCATCGTGTGTAATTACCAACCTTGGGTGCACCCAGGGGATATCAAATGTGTCAACCGCCAGCCACAGCAATGCTACGTCCTGCACCAGAAATGCAGGCACATGTGTCAGCTACAGTCGCACGGAAGACAACGACTACAAGCAATGGGCATCAGCGGTGTAAGCGTGACACCATCATCAACCTCGTCATTATCATCACCATCACATATCATCACGGGTATCACAGAAACCCTCCGCTACAGCCTGTCCACATCCACAGCTCCACCATTGAGGTGGTCGTGGACATTGCTGACACTGCCTTTTGGAAGAATGTGAGTTGCTGCTGTGAGAACGCACTGCTATGTTGCAGAAAGCAGGGAACCCCCTGGCTCAGCTCGGGATTTGTGTAGCAGAACCTTGATGTTAACTTTGTTTGAAAAGTTTGTTTGAAAAAGTTGAGTTGCTGCTGTGACCGGCATGATCTCAACTGTCAGCACCATCGTCATACAGGACAGGCCCCCAGAACCGGAAGTCAATCCTCATCGTTCTGGTAAGAAACATCACCATCTTCGCCAATTCCATTCAAGTGTCTGAGTCACAAAAGCCACAATTCACAGCGAACATCGCTGGCGATCACATGCAAGAGCCTGGTCACGAACACAACGTAACCAACCACATCCTGAGCATCATCTTCGTCATCGTCATCAACATCATAATAAGTATGGCCGGTGTCATACGCAGCCATGTCGACAAGATCAAGCTTCTGCAGAATCAACATCGCCCAACAGCATTCAGCGCTAGCTTGGTCCTGCCAGTGCCGACGCCACCGGCAGGCTAGCCTGTGGTGGCGCCGAAACCTGCCGGAGCCAGGGTGGTGGTGGTGCTGCTGCTGCTGCTGCTGCTGCTGGTGGTGGTGGACGTGGTGGACGTGGTGGACGTGGTGGACGTGGTGGACGTGGTGGACGTGGTGGACGTGGTGGAAGTGGCTGTTGTTCTTGCAATAGTAGCAGTTCACTGGTAGAAGAAGTATGTATTACGAGGAGGAGCAAAGGCAGTAGCAGCAGCAGGAAGAGGAGCAGTAGGAAAAGGAGCAGCAGCACCAGAGTCACTGAGCAGTACCTGACAGTTCCAACTGATCCTTCTGCCCTTGCCAATGAATGCTGCCAGTCCTGCAGACAGTTGTGCAGTGTATCTACCCATGGCAAGATGCTACCACTTGTCGTGTTGAATTTGCTGCTGCTGTTCGTAGTGCATTTCTGTGAACATCGCTTTTGAAGCTCTTGTTGCAGCTGTTAGTGGAACGATGGATAATCATCGGTCCTTCTGTTGCAGACAGGTGCAGCACCTGGTTGCTGGCCGTGAGCAAGTGCTTCAGATCCACGGCAAACTGCGCGACAAAGTGGGCGATCTTCGCCGTTTCTGCAAGTTCCGGCACCTGGTGTGGGGGGGGGGGGTGACTTGTTGTTCGGGCCTAGGTTGTATGCAACTGTCACATGCAAGGGGAAGCGGCAAAGCCTCGTCTGAAGCAGAATCGCCTGCACATGTAAAGACGGCAGCCAACTCGAGCGAATGAGCGAGGCCTAGCGCCGGAATCAACCCTTGCCAATGACCACGACATGCACGCGCATACACATTCTGTTCCAGGTCGACTCTAATTACTCCAATTGTCCAGGGCAGCTGGGAGACTCACATGTGCACGGTCGCATCTGCAGCACACCTTTTGTCATCGAGCCCCCCGGTCTGCAGCACTGCCGACTGACAACGAATTCACATTATATTTTAAGGAATATTCCTTAATTAAGGGATAATGGAGTCTCTGGGATATCCAATTCACCTGAAGCCTAGCAGACCTGCCCTGCACGCTGCGGCCCTCAGCCGACCCCAGAAGGCTGTAGAGGCCTGCAGCAGTCTGCAAGGCAGCTGCATGGCATGGCCAAAGTTGCTGAAACTCAGTTTCCTTGTAATCGAATATAATGAAATATAATATAGTATAGAAAAATATAGTATAATATAATATATTATAATATACTATATTATATTATATTATAGTTTATTCCTACTGCTGGCACTTCTGGCCAAAGCGGCCCTGACATCACAAGTCGGCGTTCAGATCTGTCACGTGGGCGACGTTGTTAGGACTGCCAGAGCCACTGTGGTCTCTCCTGTGCTCTGCCTGGGCACCAAGGCTGGCAACTGAAATATGCAAAGATCCGCAGACTCTACATACTATACTACATACTACTATACTACATAGTATACCGTATGTTATATACTATGCTATACTACACCATATACTCTATACTGTACCATACACTATGCTATGCCATATACTCTAGGCTATACCATATACTAGGTACTACGGTTGATGATATAAGCCATGCATTACCCACAATAAGGAATATGCCATAATTCCCACAGTTTAGGGTCCTTAAGATAATGCAGGATTTATATCATCAACCGTATCAGGGTACCCTAAACCCTAAACCCCCAAAACTCCCAAACTCTGAACCTGGATTTATATCATCTACCGTATTTTATTTACTGTCTCCCAGAGCTGTGGTCCAAGGTGCACGGCTCCTGGGTGGCCCCCTTCGAGTCACGACGTGCTTGAGCCTGCAGCCGTTCCACTGGGGTTTAGGGCTTTAGGGGGTTTAGGGTTTAGAGTTTTTGGGTTTAGGGCTTTTGGGGGGTTTAGGGTGTAGGGGTTTAGGGTTTTAGGGGGTTTAGGGTTTTAGGGTTTTAGGGTTTAGGGATTTAGGGTTTTAGGGGCTTCATAGAAGCTGGTTGGCTCCAAGGCAACGAAGTCAGGCCTCCAAAGCTTCGATGGGTGAGGGAGAGACGGCTGCTGTCTTCCAAAGCACCTTCAGCCGAAGAAGAGAGCCTCTGAATGAGGGCCTCTCCGCCTCCCTCTCTGTCTCTGCCTCTCTCTGTCTCTATAACCTGGCACACGAGGTCAGGCTTATGCTCTAAGTCTTCTCTCCAGGCTGCGTTCGATGCTCGGCCTGGCCTTCTGGATTCCTTCCTTGCCGCAAATTTCCGAGGAACCTGCCCTGCCAAGTGATCCGCTGCTTGCTTCCTTTGCGTCCCTCCGTGGCTTCACTCTGCGGCCACGGCTTTGCCGTGGACTTGGTGTCCCTCCCTCCAACCACAACGCTGGACGGGAGCGAGTCGGCGTGGCTGGGGCCGGCGTGGATGGGGCCTCTGACGCCGGCTCCGCCTCCACCGGCTGGGCCGCGGGCTCCGCAGGCTCTGCCGGCTCTCGCGGCTCGACTGCTGCCTGGATGGGCGCAGGCAAGGCATCGCGGAAGAGCGCATCGATGTCATC